GATTCTCCTGGCCCTGTCTGTGTTGGAGGGAGAGGCAGGGAACACGCAAGGCCCTGTCAGACCCCAGCCCCTCTCCCTCTCCCGCTTTCTAACCTCCCTGCACCCCACCCACCTGCTCTCGGCTCCTTCACCAGGGTCCCTGTGCGGGCCGCTCCACGGGGGGGCTGGACGATGCTGCCCACTTCCCCGTCGCTCTGCTTCTCAACCTTGGCGGCGCCAAAGGCGGAAGCAGCTGGGGAGGTTTATAAAGTCCGGATGCCTGGGTCCCACCCCCAGCGCCTTTGAAGGGAGAGTTCCCCAGGTGACCCTAATGCAGAGCAGTTGCTGAGAAGCAGCCTGCTGACTCCGGCTGCCTTGGGTGGGACCCACGCCAACATCACCTCCCTGCACGCCTGACCAGGTCAGGGCCCCCAGTCATGTGCCTTTCCTGCACCACACTCCTCTCAGCTGCCATTTTATAGCTGTTTGCAGGACCCCACTGGACTATGGGTTCCTGGAGGAAGGTATTCTGCTCACCTGCACCCTCAACAGCCAATACAGCCCCTGGCACACAGGAGGTGCTCAATAAAAATCAGTTAATGAGCGCCTTGTCAGTTCTTAAGGAGACAGGCTGTGTTTCAGGCCCCTCTAGATCCGGGGCCACAAGCACTTAGCAAGAGAGAAAGAGATCAGAAGTCGGGGTGGCAGTCTCCACCCTGGGGACCACGCCCAGCCCACCACCTGCTCCACAGCGCCCCGAGCTCCGAGGGGATTTTACCCCTTTAAATGGTTGAAAAAAATCCAAAGAAACATAACAACGGATGACACACAACAGTTGCAAGAAATTCAAATTTCTATGTCCCTGAATACAGTGTCGCTGGGACCCAGCCACTCCCGTTCCTTCATGCAGCGTCTGTGGCTGCTTCACCTGACAACAACAAAGTTGAGTGTGGCCCTCAAAGCTGAAAACACTTACTGTCTGACTCCAGAAAAGGTTGGCTGACCTGATCCAAAGCAATACTGCAGGCTGGCTGGTGTGGGACCTCTCCGTCGGGCCCGTGGCGGCCAGGGGAGCCGGCCGCCCAGCAGCTCGGCCACCCTGTCAGCTTGGCTGCTGGCTCCCTGCACTCAGGCCATCGGACAAAATTATCTTACAGAGATTCAGTTCAGGAGAGGCAAACCGCGTTCTGCCGAAGTTTGCCCCTTTAGTGGTTCGCCTGTCACTTCATTTTGACGTGGGCGTCAAATTCATTTCTTTTATTTACTCTTCCCTCAACAACGACAGCGTTTTTTAAAACATGATAAGCAGAGCTTCACAGCGTTTCTGCTTCCCTCCTCCTTCCCCAGGATTTAAAGAAAGGTTTGTTGGAAACATAGTCAAAAGGCCGGAGTTTGGAGCTTTTCTGGTCTCATCCAAATGAAAACAGTCCCAGTTTCCATCTCAACCACAACATTCCTCCAAATCTGAGAGTCAGACTAGAATGTTCAACGTCTGAAAGGCACAGGACCTGATACCAAGCTTTTTGTTGCAAGCAAAGTTAGATAATTAGCGCTAAGCCACTTCCCATGTAGGCTGGCCCCGAAAATAGCATCACTGAATGACTTTTCTCTTTGAATCTACCGAGGAATGACTACAAAGGCCGAGGCAGACTCAGCAGGTTAGAAGGCTGGGCTCACTGACTCCGTGGGCTCCTTGGCTAATTCCTGAAGCCTGGGCCAAATTACAAAGCTGCTAGTGGTGTTTTAAGGCTGAAAGGGAGGTAGGAATTCCACTTATTCACGTATCCTCGGGGACCTGCATCTGTGAAGCCAGGTTCCCGCGACCAGGAGGCAAGAACCGGCTCGGCTCCAGAGACACGGGTAAGCGGCAGTGAGATTTTCTGAACCCCACCCCGACCCCGCCCCACCCCAAGCTTCAGGGTCTCAGAGAATCAGAAAGCGTGAAGGGTCAGCGTCTGGACCCAAGGCCTGTCCCTCATGCCATCATGAGAGGAAAATGGAGGGACTCAAGGATTCTGTAAATAAGTGCGCTAACGATACAAATGCTGCTTCTCAAAGACGCAAAAAAAGGCGGCCACTCAGACATGGCGGCGCCAAGATCTCTGGTCCTGAGTCCGAACAGCACCCGGCGTCCGGGCCCTCCAGCTGCATGACCCGGGCGGCCACCTCCCGGCCCGCACACCCCTCACCTGGGAGCACGGGCCAGTCCCACACCCAGTCCTGAGGACCCCGGGAGGACAAAGGCCCAGGCGAGGAGAAGGCCCGGGACAGCAGCCGGCTCGTAACTGCAACGCGACCGGCAGCGGCGGCGGCGCTAGGTGGCAGCGGGGCGTGGACAGCTGGCCCAAGTCTAGGGTTAAGATATAAGCAGGGAAAACCACCAATGCGCTGCGCCCACTTCAGAGGGATCAGGACCACCCACTTGCTTCATGCACACCCAGCACAGGCGGGAAGCGACCCCACGGTCCCCAGGGCAGGTGGCTGCTCTTGGCTCCTCGCCCCGGGAGTTGCTGACTCTCAGACTCCCTGGTGGCTCCTCACAGGCTTGGAGGCTGAGCCACTCAAGAATTTCTCTAACCGGGAAGGCCTCACTCGGGTCCGGTTGCCACACCTGGACACTGGGCTCCTCCGATTTCCACCCCAGCCCGGCCAGGGCCGGGGAAGCCCACTCACTCACCCTGCTCCATCATCTCCAGCAGCCCCTTCTTGATGAGGTCCTCCCGACCTTGCCGGCCGGCCATCTTCTTCTCCAAGGCTGCACGACACAAACATTCAGGTGAGTCACGGGCAGAGGCGTCGAGGGGCCCTCTCGGAGCCCGGGCAATGCCACCTCCAGTTTGGGAAGAGAGCAGCAAGGCCGCAGGTGACCGTGGGTGAGGGGGCCACCAGGTCAGGGGTGCGGTTCAGGAATCCCGTGCTCCCCCACTCTGCAATCTGCTGAGCAGGCAGGAAGCACGGCCGAAGGGAAGCATGAGTGCTAAGGCGGTGCCTCCCCTGGCTCCCCTGAGAAGTGACGCCCGGCATCACCCCCTTCTCTAAGCTGCCTCCCACCACCAGATCCTGCCTGCCGCCGGGTACTCTTCACTGACCAGATCAGATCCTCTCTCTGCCCCCGCCATCCTGAGGTGCTTCTCTGTGGTTCCTGCTACCCTTCTCTGAATACACCCTGACCGCCCTTTACGTCTGCTCTCAGACCAGTCCCCTGCACCGCTGTCCCACCAGAGGCTCCTCTGATGAGTTCTGCCCAAACCACTGTTTGTACCTGTTCTTTTTCCTCTATATCATCTTTATTTTTACTTCATCTCATCCCAACCAACGATGCCTGTGAAATTGGGGATTTGATATGCTGAGATAAACAACATCCCACCCTTCGGCGGGGAAAGAATGGTTTAGAATAAATAAACCAAATGCGGTGCTGCGTCCAGATTTCCAGGTGCCTGATAAAACATCCAGGGGTGGGAGTGTCACTGCTGTTAACCTGAAGGGTCCCCACAGCACCCTAATGGACTCACAGGTCGCTCACCACAGTGCAGTGCCAAGTGGGCCAGCAGCACGGGCTCCCGAGAGCACGCAGCTCACCCTCCAACCCTGTGGCCCAGAGAGTGTCGGGGCCCCCTGAGGGCACAGAGGGCACCTTGCTCTGGCCCCCCGAGCCTTTCGCTGATGCACAGGAGGGCCTTCCCCAGCTCAGCGTGTTTGCACGGCTGTTCCCACTGCTTAGACGCTTTTCCCTGCTTTTCTCAAGGGGGTCAATTTTGTCTCAGCTCAGCATCACCTCCACACCTGGGTCTTTTCTGCCCCTGACCCTGAACAACTGACCCAAAGCAACACTCACCCCGCCCACCTCCTCCCCAGCACCCGCTCAGCTCCCCCGCGGCCGGCCCGCCAGAGTCCCGTCTCCCTGCTTGTTCCCTCACTCACTTGCCCGTTGCCGGACGCCCTGCTTGGCGGAAAGCTGTAAGCGGGCAGGGCCCGGGTCCCTGGTCTGCTTTGTCCTTGGCACAGCACCCGGGAGGCTCAAAGAGTCACTGAAAACCAGTGTTTGTTCTGCTCTCACCCACGACAGGGGAATCTGTCAGCTTCTCGGATAGTTCAGCCATGTTGTAAAATGTGTAAAAAGGGTGAGTGGAGGAACCCCCGCTGCTGTCAGCAGCCCCTCCCCCGCCCCCGCCGGTTTTGCCTCCGCCATCCTCTAAGCCCCGAGTCTGCCCTGCTTCAAGGCTGGGACAGAAACGGGGACCCCGGGGACCACCCGAGGCCGCAGCCCGAGACGGGCACTTACCAGGCGGGTCCCCGGGGCCCAGAACTAATTCCACACGAGCAGCATCCTTGCTAATTGTCTCCAGCCGCACCTAACAGGCGTGCAGCTCAGCGGCGAGGCTTGTGGGAGCTGAGATGCTGTCTCCCCGTGGGTTTGCTTCTCAGAGCACTGACCCCCTCCTTTACCAAGGACATCCAGGGCGTCCTGTCCTCTGGGAGCCAGACCTGAGCACAGCTGCTAGGGCTCAAACTCCAGCCCACAGCCTGCTGCTGCCTGAGCCCGGGAGCGGCTGCCTGTCTCAGAGCCCGTTTCCTGTCCCTGAGATGGGCAGGACCACTGTCAGGGTGCTGGCGGTGGGGGTGGTTCTGAGTATTTAGTTGGTTAGAAATGGGCTGTGTTGTTGTGACTCTTACAGTCAGTTGTGCTGTTGTTACTACACCCCGTGGATCTGTCTCGTGCCAGAGTTCCTGGTGTGGATTTCGAGGGGCAGGGGCAGCGGTACAACCGGCCATAACCCCACTTCCCACAGAGCTGGGACGGGCAGGGTGTAAGGATGCGGCTGCGGGTGAGTAGGGGAGCTTCCGGGTCCCTCAGCGGGAGGGCGCCGGGGCGGGGGTCCCTCGGGGGGAAGCCTCTTCAAGAAGAGCTTCGGAGCCGTCTTCCAAATGAAGACCTCAAGGTATCGAGAGGCCGAGCTGAGGGTCTTGACCCTCTGAATCACCCAAGGGGGCTCTCGGGGACGGTGGGACCCAGGCCCCAGGGTTGTCAAAGTGAGGGTCCGGGTGCAGGGGGGCTGGTGCTTCATCCCCGAGTGTGGTCAGCAGGGAGAGTGTGGCCGGCGGGGTCTCGGTCCCGGCCTGGCCCTGCACTGACTCCAGAGTCTGCTTTCTTAACTAGGTCGACAGTGACTTGGGTGCCCCTTAGGCTCTGGGTGGTAAGTGGGTTCCAGGCAGGGACCTGGAAGGGCCAGGGGAGAGAGGCGACCTGGAGGAGGCTGAACAGCTCCCGGCCATCAGAGGCCACAGAGCACAGCCCACCACTCCCCACATCAGCAACAGAAAGTGCGGTGACAGTGACACCAGGTCCCCTCTCCCCAGTGCTCACCGGATGTCGTCTGCTTCAGTTTTTCGTTTTTCTTTTTCCTCCATTTCCAGGGTTTGAAGATCCTGCCCAGGGTGGCCAGTTTGCTGTTCCTCCTCACGGGGGGAGTTCGAATCCCTGAGACCAGATATTCGGAGCGCACTGTGGGGGTTTGGTCCATCTCATCTGGAAGACGAAAACCCAGGGAGGGGTCAGTGATGACCAAGCCCACATGACACCCTGGGGATCCGAGATGACTCCCCTCCCCACCGGGGCCACCAGTGAGCCTCCAACGCCTGGGGCTAAAGAGGGTTTTCCAGGCAACAATGGTTCCGGTGGGGATGCGCCCATAGGTAGCTACGCACACTGTCTCCCTCCCACCCGCAGCCTTCTTACAGCCTCCGGAAGCCCTTACAGCACTTTGTGTTGGCCACAGTGACCTGAAGACTCACCCAACTCCATAAAGGAAACTTCTCTGCCTCAGGACCTCTGCTCATGTCTGTCCTCCCGCTCAGCTCAGCCTCCTCTCAGCCCTGGGAACCTCAGCTGACTCTGACCTCCTCCAGCAAGTCTCCACCTTGTCCTGCCCAGACGAGGCTCAGTCCCTTACCCCAGGCTCCTGGGTCCCTCCCTGATGCTCGGCTGTCCTGGACCCCAGCACAGACCTGGCCGTGCTCCTCCTCGAACAGCTGCAGACGGAGCGTGTCCATGAATGGACAGAGGGAGGCTCTCCTGGAGCCCTTTCCTTGCCCAGAAAACTAGGCCACGCTGGCACACCCTTGGGATGTGCAAGGACAGACATCCAAGGGAGCTCACGGCACTGCTGTCGGTCATGTAAGAGACTGGTAGCAACCTACAGGCCCGTGCCCAGGGCACCGGCCAAGTCACTGTCCTTCCTCTCAGAGACCCTCGCAGAGACACAGAAAAGAAACACGCAGATCTGTCTGTGCAGATGGGAAAACTAGCCAAGATAAACCTCGAGGTAAAAAAATCGGCATGCAAAAATCACGCAGCATATGCACCCATGTGCGAAAGGGGGCTGTCCCCATGCGTCTGTGGGGCCCTCAAGAACCGGGGATCACTTGCTTTTTGGGGCCCTGGGAGGGAGGCCCTTCACCCGAGGCCATTTTATAGTATACAATGTGTACTGTTTTTTTAAGAAAGAAGATTAGTTAGAATGGAAAACAAAATGCAGCTAACACCACAGTGATGCCGGAGACCCAGGGGACCAACGTCGCCTCCATCAGCTGACCCCAGGCCCCCGTTCAACGGCACAGCTTAGACATGAGTTCACGTCATCACCTGGGACAGGGGAGGGACGTTTCTTCCAGCGGTGGCAAAGACCCACCCCCTACAGGCTCTGAGACTGAACCGCTTTGTCACTTGGGCGGAAGTTCGCAGACCTGCCAGTGTCCCCCAGCGTGAGGCTGGCACCTGAGCCCAGACTCTGGCCAAGATGCCCTGCAAACTGACATGCACATGCATGCGCACGCGCACACGCACACACACTAAGGCCCTCAGCCTCAGCTTTTCCCATAATCATCGTCCTTGGTGATCCAGGGATGAGAAGACTGCGTGTGGCCACAGGGCAGCCATGAAGTCTGGGAACACAGGGAGATGCACACAGCACGCAGTTTACTGACCGTATGCTAATCTGCGTGAAGGAGTATTATCTGTGTTTTAAAACTGCAGAGCTGCTCTGATAAACGTGCCACGCCAGCACTGGTGCCTTTCGGGAGAAGTTTTCATGGTAATAATTTATATTACAGCAGCCATACATAGCTACCACAGAGTGAGCGTGGGTCACTGCCTGAGCCGGGCCAGGTGCTGCGGTATTCTGCCCCCACAGGAGATGCTGTTATGCCCATCTTACAGACGAGCACACTGAGGCTCGGGGCAGGGAGCCGTTCTGTCAGAGCGAGGGAATGCCGACCTCAGGCAGCCTGCCTCCAGAGACCCCTCTTGTAGCTCTACGCAGCTTCTAGGGTGACTGGGCAAATTCATCACCCAGAGCAGGACACAACTGGATGGGGCAGGAACCAAGACCGTCCCAGGCCACCAGCGTGTGCGGCCACTCCCTCTCTAGCTGTTACTAACTGAGCGTTAACTGAACACTGGGGGCCGAGCGCCAGGGGGTCCACGAGGCAATCCCGCATGGACGGACGGCCCAGGGACGCCCTGTGTGAGAGCTTCTCCCTGCAGACTCAGCAAGCCAGTGAGGCGCCGAAGCCAATGGCTCCCGGGTGGCTCCCCACCTCGTGTGTATAACCCCGGCGCCCGGCCCCCAGGCGGAGCCCAGGAAGCGTGAGGGCGGGAGGGAGTCAGGGGAGCCCGAGGACCGGTCAGGGATCCCTCTGGTCACCAGGTCCCCAGCTCCAGGCTCCAGGCACGCGGGATGCAGACGGTCCTTCTCCCCCAGAGGTAGTTTATGCCACGTTACCATCCTCTCCCTTCCTTCCTCCGCCCACGGACGCCAGATGGGAGTCGAACTGGCAGTGTCACGTGGCCCAGGAAAGCTGACTGTCCTGGAGGCCTTTTTGGCACAACAGGGAAGGAACTGGCCAGGTCTCCCCAAGCCTCTGGGCTGGTTTGAAGAGAAAGAGGTTGCTCCCCAGAGATGCGCATGGAAGCAAGGAAGCACTGCCATCCCTTTGTTTACACCAAAGGAAGGGCGGCCGCCCCCAGAAGCACAGCCCAGCAAGGTCCGGTGAGTGTCCAAGGAAATCCAGAGGAAGGGGAGTCCGGACAGGACCACTTCCGCCCATCCATGCATCCATCCACTCACTCAACAGGAAAGTACTGACAGCAGCCATGCGCTAGCAATTACTCCAGGAGAACACGCAGAGGTGAACAGAAAAAAACCCTGCCCTCGTGGGGCTTCTGTTTACCTGTGGGAGGTGGACAGCCGGCGAGGATACTATGATCCCAAGCCTGCTCTCCCATCGCTCCCGCCACCTCCCTCTCCTGATTCTTCCTCATCACATTCTCACCCGGTGTGTGTGTGTGTGTGTATCCTGGCACGTACACACACACACAGATACACCTGCACAATATTTGCTGTTCCCTGCTGTGTCCCTAATTCGAGGGTGAGGTCTGTCTTTGAGGGCTGGTTAACAGCTGAATCCCTGGCATCCAGAACACGTGAGACAGGAACCCACATGCTGAAGGAGATCTTTCCAGACATGAGGATGGATGGACAGAACCCCGCACCTGCTCAGGGAGCTGGGGGACGCGGGGGCTGACTGTAAACGGAGGGTTAAGAAAGGCTGCTCTGAGCGGGCCTACTGGAGCAGAAAGGATGCTCCAAATGCACCCTGGATGAAAGGGAGCCAGCAGCGTAGATGGGAGCTGGGGCAGGGAGGAGGCCCCAGACAAGGTCAAGGGCTTGGAGGAAGAACACAGCAGATGAGGGCCATGGATGAGGCTGGGGAGGCAGGCAGGGGCTGGAACTTGATTCAGAATTCATCAGGGAGCCACTGGGAGCTCTCAAGCTCAAATGACCTGATTTATTCATTTATCAAATATCCGAAGTGGCCGGCAGGAAGGCACCTCCATCTGAGCAACTCCCCAGGGGCCTGCTGTCACGGGAGAAGCAAAGACCCCCCCAGGCCCAGGTGGGGACAGGCTCCAGAGGTCTGAAGGCTGTGCCCCCAACGCCCCCACAGGATGAAGCCCCCCCACTCCCTGCCGGCCCCAAGGTGGCTCAGGCCCAGGGCCAGGTGGGGTGACGGCACCTTGTAACCCAAGGACAGAAGCTTCAGAAGAGATGCACCGTCTAGGGAAGGAACTGCTTACAAACCACCCAAGGGTACGACTGTGTCACTGACTGCATGCCCGGGGGTCCAAGTGAGCAAGAGGTGGGGTGGGTCCCCTGAGGACCGTGTGACCCACCCACCCTGAAGGGCGGAGTGAATGTGGGCAGGAGGGTGGGTGCATATGTGGATTTATGGGCACCTAAGCGGGTGGGCGTGCACGTGGGTGGGCGCACGAGCACGCGCAATTGAGAGTCGCACAGAGAGAAGAGGCTGGGTGGATCCCCGCTTCCCTCTATCCCCAGCCTGCGAGTTCACGCAGCATCTCTGGAGTTGCTGGGGGACTCCTCACCTCCGGGAAGACTCCCAGAGGTGCAGACACATTAGCAGATCCCTCCAGCCTCCGAGTGACACCGTGCTGCTGAGTTCCAGGGCCACCTCTGCCACCTGTGAGGCACTAGCGGTTCATTAACGAAGAGCGCTTCCCCACATCTGCCGAGGAAGTACGGCAGGCGGCTACGGGGCAGGCGGGATGCCTCCCGGGTCCCCGGATGGTGGACGGGGCAGGCGCCAGCCCCCTGCCATCTCTGGTCCCACAGGCAACTGCAGTCCTCTCCTGGTCCCCTCTGAAGCTCACCACAGACTGGGTGCACTTGTCCCCCAGGCCCAACGCCAGCCCCCTCCGCCATCAATGGCTCCCACAAATCGACAGGTCAGGCAGTTCTAGAACAGGGCCAGGAGGGACACCAGTGCCTTGAATGAGGTCCCTGAGATCACAGGCTCATTTCCATGCCTGGCTCAGGGCCAACCCCTTGACTCGCTATACTCCTTCCCACCCCAGCTCTGAGCGCTCTCAGATACCATCCTGAGATGTGTTATTTACTGTTATCTTCTGTCTCTCTCTCCCACTGGAACAAAGTAAGCATTATGAGAACAGGAACTGTGGCCATTCTGTTCATCAAGGGTCCCTGGCATCTTTACTGGCGCCTGGGACCCAGGAGGTGCTCCCACAAACCCGTTTGACCTGAGTCTGGGGTGCAGAGCTGCATCCCAGGAGCCAGGATCCGGCCCCTGTCCATCCGACTTCAAAGTCCTCCACTAGGGGCATCGCGCATTTCTGCTTCCTCGTCTTCTGCCTACTGACCTGCCTCTGTTCCCTTCCCCGTCATCTTCCCCAAACACAGTGGAAGGAAAGCCCCACTCAGTGGTTAGCAGGGGCCTTGTGCTGAGCAGCTGGTCTTGCGGGGAAGATGAGCGCTATCTCTATGTGGCAATATTGGAGCACAACTTTGTTTCTTTCTTTCTTTCATTCATTCATTCATTCATTCACAAATTCACTCCTCAAGTATCAGCTGAGCCCTGCTCTGAGTTTGAGACAGAGCAGTAAAGGCAACTGACACACTGTCTTGCTCTGCATGAAGCTCACCGGCTTATGAAGGAGGAATTAAACAAGCAAGAAAACAGTATGATGACTTCAGAATGTGAGATCAGCTAAGGAGGAGGCAAGCAAGAAGTGGGGATATGGAGCACCAGAGCATGGCCTCTGTTTCTTCAGTGAGTCCTTCCCTGCCCCCAAAGAATCCATCTGGCAATATGTGGTCACCATCTTCTATAAACAAAGCACCACGCCAGGTGTGTGAAGCAGAACAAAGAGGTGCTGGGCCCTCCTCTGCCCCGGTGGGCTCACTGACCACAGAGAAAACCAGGGTTCGTGGAATCACCAAGACAGAGAATTACAACTGCAGAGGACGCAGTTCTTCCTGCCTGGAGTGGGAAATCTCTGGAAAGGCTACGAGGGGTGGGGGCAATTTGGATTTGGGTTTTGGAGGTTGAATAGGAGTTGCATATAAAGTGAAAACCCTTAAAAGCATGATCGTATGTGATGTTTGGTGGATAACAAAGCAAGCAGGGAAACAAGACCTGATGCCCCCCGTCTCTAAGGTTCAGAAGCCCTGTAAAATATAAAGTCCACATATGCCATAGAGACTCCAACTTTCTATGGTGCCAACTAATGACCAACATACATGCACAGATACACAGACACAAAGTGATCATTATTGTCATCACCACTGACTATAAATAAAAGGAAAGATGATCTCAAAGTAAGAAAAGAATCTTTATTATTGACATATCAATAAATATATTGATAAATGAGAAAAGAGCACTGCTGTGCTGTCCTTAGTGTTCCTGATTTGCTGGCATGGGTCTGCTGCGTACTTGAACTTAAGACCTTAGGCTGGAGCTCTTGATTTC